CTGATGCGTAGTAGGCACATGAAGTGTACGAATCTCTCCTCGCAAGAGCTCATCACGAACGAAGTGACAATCAATCTCAATGTGCTTCATGCGTTCGTGGAAAACCGGATTAGCAGCAATGTGAAGAGCTGCTGTGCTGTCGCACCGGACCGTCATGAGGTTCTTATGCTCAACTCCTAAACACCGCAATACATTCTTCAACCACTTCAATTCACATGTAAGGACAGCCAAAGCTCTATACTCTGCTTCAGGAGACGAGCGAGCCACCGTCGACTGCTTCTTTGTTTTCCATGAGACAGGCGAGTCTCCAAGCTACACAAACCACCCTGTCAATGACCGCCTTGTCAAAGGACATGCTGCCCAGTCCGAATCACACCATCCTGTGAGTTGAAGACTACTCTCTGCTGACAGAAAAATACCCTGACCCGGACATCCCTTCAAATAACGAACAACTCTAAGGGCCGCAGCCCACTGATCCTCCCTTGGTTCCTTCAAAAACTGTGCTAAAGTGTGGACGGAGTAAGAAAGTTCCGGTCGTGTAACGGAGAGATAGACCAATCTTCCTACTAACCGTCGATATGGTTCTGGATCTGCAAGAACCGGGGCTTGGGAACGAGCCAAGTGATGATTTGGCTCCATCGGGGCACCCAATGGCCTCGCCCCTAACAACCCTGCCTCAGTGATGATATCTAAGGCGTACTTTCGTTGGCAGAGAAAAATCCCAGACGTGCTCCTCGCTACCTCAATGCCAAGAAAGTATTTCAGTGTTCCCAAGTCCTTCATATGAAAACAATCTCCGAGATAAGCTTTGAACTGGCTTACCATCTCTGTATTATCTCCATCAATAATCAAATCATCAACATAAACCAACACATGTATGACTCCTTTCTTTCCAACAAAAGAAAATAAGGAGTAATCAGCAACAGATTGAACAAACCTATAGCGTTTCAAGGCTCCAGACAACTTGGCAAACCAACACCGTGGAGCTTGCTTTAAGCCATACAGAGACTTCTTGAGTTTGCACATCACATTAGACGAATTTGAGAAACCAGGTGGCAATCTCATATACACCTCATCCTGAAGATCTCCGTGTAGAAATGCATTATGAACATCCATCTGATGCAATTCCCACCCCTTAACTGCTGCAATTGCCAAAAGCGTTCTCACAGTGGTCAACTTGACTACGGGAGCAAATGTTTCCTTGTAGTCAAGTCCTTCAACCTGATGATTTCCAAGTATAACAAGTCTGGCCTTATATCTCTCCACACTTCCATCGGACTTGCGCTTGATCTTATATACCCATTTGCAACCAAGGGGCTTTTTATGGCGTGGAGGAGAGACAAGAGACCACGTTCCATTAGCCTCCAGTGCATCAATCTCCTCTCTCATAGCCTTCCTCCATCGTTCATCTTGGAATGCCTTCTTGAAACTTGTGGGCTCCACTCCAGCATCAAGTGCGCTGAGAAAACACTTGTGTCTGTCAGAGAACTTCTCGTGCGTGACATATGAGGCAAGAGGATATTTGCATTTTTCCCCAACATGTGAACCAGCTACATGGGTAACATAATCGGCAAGGCGTACATTTGGACGTTTCTCTCGCTGACCACGTCCCAAGTTCTCCATTGCCTGCTCGGAAGAGGACGGTCGACCGCCGTCCGTGGAACGGTCCATGGGGTCGACCGTCTGAAGCTATTCTGGATCTCTAACATTCTGCCTTGGAGACGGTCGACCATTCTCCTCTTCACGGTTGACCGTTTCATCATCCCTCTGAAGCTCATCTTTCTGCCCTTCAGACGGTCGACCGTGGTCAATAGAACGGTCCACCACGTCGACCGTTGGTTGCACTCCCAGAGGTCCGTCTTTTTGCCTTTCGGACGGTCGACCGTGGTCATCAGGACGGTCCACCAGGTCGACCGTCTGTAGCTTGTCTGCCTCACTGGTCTCCTCCGGTCGACCGTTCCTCGTGGAACGGTCCAGCCGTTCTTCCTCCGGCATCTCTTCATCATCTTCGAAGTGATCGATCGAAGGGGAATTACTCGATCCACTCTCATCTGGGATTTCACTTACGGAAATCAAGTAAGGAAAAATGTTTTCACAAAACACAACATCCCGTGACACACTGATCTTTCCAGTGTCTGGGAAATACACACGCCAACCCTTCTTTCCTTGTGGGTATCCCAAAAATATTCCAGGAGTACTTCTGGGTGCAAATTTATCTCCATATCTCTTGTGTACATAACATCTGCAACCGAAAACACGTATGTGAGTCCTTGTAGGAGCCGTCCCATAAAGCTTCTCGTACGGTGTAACCCCCCTAGCAAAGAAGAGGGTGTGCGATTGATCAAATATGCCGCAGTTTGTATACAATCTCCCCAAAATTCAATAGGAAGCCCTGCCTGAAATCTTAGAGCTCGACCCACGTTCAGAACATGACGATGTTTACGCTCTACTCTTCCATTCTGCTGCGGTGTAGACACACAAGATGTCTCACGAATAATTCCTTGTTCNTTGTTCCAGAAAATATTCATTCAAGCATTCGAATTCTGTGCCATTGTCACTACGAACACACTTTATTTTCTTCCCAAACTGACGTTCAACCATGGCACAAAATTGTTTAAAAACACTTCCTACTGTCCGCTTAGAATCAAGCAAATGTACCCACACGCCTCGAGAAAAGTCATCCACAATAGTTAAAAACATGGTAGAACCATTCAAACTCGGCGTTCGATAAGGACCCCATAAATCACAATGCACCATATCAAATATATCCAAAGATTGATGAAAACTGATGGGAAAACTAGCACGTGTTTGTTTAGCACGTAAACAGACATCACAATGACTATGACCACTTTTATTTGGACCAACTCTGGGAACTAAAGACAAAACATGCGAAGAGGGATGTCCTAGACGCTTGTGCCAAAGATCAAAGGTATTCACCTTCTTAGCACTGCACGCCATGCTTTTTTCATCCTTTTTCAAATAGTACAATCCTCCTTCATGTCTCCCTACACCAATCGCAGTCCTCAAATTTTTGTCTTGTAATATGCACACATCATTGGTGAACGTTGCCTCACAATTCAAATCTCTCGTCAGCTGTGAGACAGAGATCAAATGGCACTTCAAATTTGGAACAAACAACACACTCTGTAAAGTTAAATTCCTTGTCAAATCAACTTTTCCAGATTGAACAGACACTACCCGTTTTCCATCGGGTAATCCAATTTCACATGGAGTCACACCCACCACATCATACAATAACGAAAGATCACCCGTCATATGATTTGATGCTCCCGTATCAATAATCCAGCGTGGTGACACAGAAATACCTGTAAGTTTCTGATTAATGTCTGTAGGGGACAGCGCAAGGGTGTGACGAACAGCGTTCCACTGTTCCATAGTCAGATCCTCGAAATTGGGCAACGGCGAATATCCCTTTTTCTCTTCTTCCTCATTCTTGTTGAGAGTAATCTTCATGGATGCCTCTTCAAACGACATACCAGACGACACGGGCTAATAATAGATCGAACAACTGCAGCAATTGAAGAAACTGCCGTCGGGACGGTCGACTCCTTCGACCGTTCCTCTCCGACGGTCGACCGTTCCGGTCTTTCGGCAACAACACCAAGTGACGATCGCTGGACGCGATGCCAGGCGATCGTCCACAGTAGCCGCGGAAATCCTCTAGGGTTTTGGCTCTGATACCATGAAAGAATTGTTTGGGCGGAAATTTTCTGTATTGCTTTCTTGTCTGCACAATTTACAATGAGGACCTATATATAGGATCTCACAAGTTGAGATTCCTAATCAGTAAAGGAAAAGAAAAAGGAAAAGGAAAGAATCCCTATACAAGGAAAACTACCAAAACAATATATACACAAATATCTCCAAATATTCTACCAAATATTCTCTTTCCTTTAACACCCCATTATATTGATTTTTCTCAGTTTAACTTTTACACTATGTTTGGTTCAAGGAATTTGGAAAGAAAAGAAAATAAAATGGTTTTCTCTCATTTTTCCTCACCAAAATGAAAGGAATTTGGTTTTCCCTCCACTTGGTACATTTTGCCTCCACATTTTCTTTTCCTTCTACTTTTCCTTTCTTTTCCCCTCTAACCAGACAAGAAAAACGATTTTCTACTTTATTTTCTTTTCTTTTCCCTTTCAAATTCCTTGAACCAAACATAGTGTTATGGTTAAAATTTTAAAACTTTAACTACAAATTGCAGAAAATATATATTGAATTGTGGTATGGATTTAATAAGAATAGCTTCATTTTGAAACATAATTTTGATATACTTCTTCCGTCTCATAAAAATGTTTCCACTTTGACTTTTAAAAAATTTAAAAGAGAGGTATTTTTGTGTTGAATTTTAAAAATATTCTTGGTGTGATGCGTAAAAATAAGATGTGATAGGTAAATTATTAATAAAAAGATATGATGCAATAAGGTAAGAATTTATAGGAGTAAAAAAAATTTTTAATAAGAAAGAGAAGTACTTCGTGGGACAAGAAAAAAACAGAAAGAAGAAAGATTTTTTGGAACGCAGGAAGTATTATATTTTTATAATGTATATATTTATTCATAATTAAAAATATTAATGATCAAAATAATGTATTATACGGAGTAACTCGTTAAAAGTCAAATGGAAATAATCAAATAGAACCGAGGGAGTATGTGATTTTTTTATAGAGAGGAAACTCTATTTCAAAGTGGGCAAATCGTATTGTAAACCATTTTAGGTAGACCTTCATATGCATATGGTAAACAAAATGCTTAATTACTATCTTGATAAACATTTTTTGCATAACAACATACTCCCTCCGTCCCATAAAACATTTCCTGTTTCAAAAAAGGCGCGCCCTTAAAATGAGTAATTTTCGTGTTATTTTCTAATTTTGTCCTTACTTTATAAAATAGTTGGATGACATGTGTAGAATAAATTAGTCATAATTAAAAAATAACACTAAAATTACTCATTTTAAAGGCATACCATTTTTGAAACAGGAAATGTTTTATGGGACGGAGGGAGTACAAAAAAGTACGGAGTACTTATCAAAATAGTAAGCATTGGTTTACCACATTGGTATCAAAGTCAACTTAAAATGATCACAACAAGCACTCTAATAAGCCAAATTAAAGCGCCATCATGGAATTATGCATGGCAAACAAAATGAGAAAAAAAATGATAGGGTCCTTAAAAACGGGATGGTAATATAATCATGTACAATTAATTACCAGCAGTGAATTCAAGGACGACAACCACCGTCATGACGGCCCAAATGGCGTTTTGGCCGACCTCCTTGAACAGCGGCTCCACCAAGTACAGCAAAGACACCAACGTCAAAGACAAGCCCACTTTCACGGCGTGAACAACTCGCCGAGGATCTTCCCGTCCCACGCTGCAAATCCGGTCCCACGTTAGCCCCAGCATCCTCCGCACCCTCCCCGCCAGAATCTTGGTCTGTTTCTCGATCGCCTCTGCTCCATTATTCAAGCTCCCCATTCCACTACACCAATACTTATTCATCATCATCACAAGTACATTATTATTAATATATCCTCAATTAATTACAGTAGTTTACAACATAAATATATGGCTAGAAGAAAATTAATATCATGATTGTGATCGAATTGAGATTATCATTGGAGGAGGAGGATGAGGAGGGAGCCGAGGGAGGGAAAAGAAGGTTGTTTTTGACTTTTGACCCACCTTGTGCATTTCTACAAGATTTAATTTATTACTCCCAAACATATAGGAGGAGTGAAGAAATAAAGAATACTCCCACATATCTATGGTGATGATTTGACGTCGATCCGGAAAGGAGGCCGGGTCCTGATAATTCTGGGTTTTTGGGAGGTTAGACCGGTTGCATTTATGGGTCGTGCGTGGTTTGACCGTTTTGACCACCCGGTCTGAGTTTAATAACACTGCCACATATAGTTTAGAAGATGTTATTAATGTGTTTTTCTTCAGGTTTAGTTAAAGATGCTACTAGCTAGCTAATGTGTACATTTTTCTTTAAAAAAAAGAACAAAAAACAATTCACTAAGTTAAAATCGCTACTCAACCACTAGAGATTCTTAGGATTTTAACCATACCCCATTCTGTAATTCTGTAAATATAAGACTAGCTAATGGTACATTTTTAAATGTTCATTTATAAAGTGTGCAAGGATAAAACACGCACCTTACCAAAACTATATGGACCATACAAAAACGGAAAATTCACTATATATGAGTAAAAAATTGTGAAAATACCGAAACATGAGTTATAAGTCTTTTAATAGTAAAATATGAGTTCATACTGTCATTGTTATACTGTCACAATTACCATATTGTCACATTGTAACTATCACAGTATCATCACCACACAGCCATCCGTTGTTGTCCGCCACTAAGGTGTCATCGCGGATCGCCGATGGTTAGCTGATTACACTGACATATAATACTCTCAATATTTTTTTGAGAAATTTACCTAAATAGCATTAAAACATAATGACTTTTCCTAAATAACATCACATATTTTTATTTTCCAAATTAGCACTTTTAATCATTATCCATTAGTCATATTATTCAAGTAAATGTCCACCATCATTGAACTTTATTCCTCAGTCAGTCTGAACATTATTAAAGGATATTTAGGGAATACAAAAGTTTAAGTCATATATTGGGAAATGACTTATGTTTTAGTGTTATTTAGTACAAATATTTCTATTTTTTTATCATATTGTCAAATGTCAAGGCATATTCTTATACCACACTGTTATTATAATCTTATTTTGTTCTTAAAAGACTATTCTATAAGTGTATTTTCATACTTTGTCTTTCTCCCGAGAGATTTCTTTTACAAAAAAGGGGTGATGAGGTGGTACAGACGTACAGTGGTATATTTGAGTGTTCACGGGATTAATATAACTAAAGTTAATTACTTGGACAGTATTTGATATGCGTATTATTAATGAACTTCACAAGAACAAGTTGAACACGGAGACGACCTAACCAAATAAATTTGGATGGATTGCTTTAATTAATTTGCCGGTCGGACAAAGTGATCAGAAATTTGTGATTATAATATTAACTTCTTAGCTATCTTTACGTGCATCTGAGAAGGAATTGAGCATCCCCGACGATAAATAATACGTAGTAATAAAAAATTGAATCGGGTTTTTTTTCTTTTTTCGTTAAATATTTATTAAAGTCAATTTTGGTTACTTAATTTAGTTACGTTAAAATGCTTCATAGAATTACTGGGTCTCAAAAATTAAAAATGTTCCTTGTTAAATATATCAATTATTTAATATATTTAATAATATATATTATAATTATGGTTGTTACCGCCTATTATAGTTAGAGTTATTATTAAATAATATTACCTTATATAATTAGTCATTAATGTGGAAGATTCTACAATATATTCCTCCACCTATAAATACATACTTTGTATTTTTCTCTTATTCATTCAATCAATAAAACGTAATTTATTATTTTTACATTCCTAATTAAGTTTTTAGGGTTAAAACTTTTAAAAAAATTTGACCACAAAAATTGAAAAAAACATAGCATTGAATAACAATATAAATTTAACACGGCATATCATTTGATTATTTCTAAATACAGAGAATAGTTTAGAATTATTATATTTAAATAAATTTATTAAGATTTAAGTAGATATTATTGGTTCCCACAAGTAAGGAACTCTATATGAGAACTAAATACAAAAGCAAACAAATCAATATATACGAGAAACTACCAAAATAATATATACGAGAATATATGGAAATACATTCCTTCCTTCTCTAACACCTCCCCCCCCTCAAGTTGGAGCATGCAAAAGTGAAATGTTCAACTTGGAAATAAGAAACTCCAGACGAGTTTTTCCCAATGCCTTAGTGTGAATATTTGCAAGCTGAGGCATAGTAGACGCATGATGCATACAAATCACTCCACAAAGAAGCTCATCCCAAACAAAATGACAATCAGTCTCGATCAATGTGCTTCGTACACTCGTGAAAAATAAGATTGGTGGCAATATGAAGTGCCGTTATGCAGTCACAATGAATGGTCAAAGGACGATCATGCAATTAGACTCCTAGACATCGCAAAAGATTCTTGAACTACTTCAACTCACAAGTAACAGCAGTAAGGGCCCGACATTCAACTTCAGCATACGGCCGAGCAACAGTCATTTGCTTCTTCATTTTCTAAGAGACAAGCGAGTTTCCAAGTTCAGTCAATCATCAACTCATCAGTGGACAAGTGGCCCAATCCGAATCACACTAGCCTATAAGATGGAGACTATTATCTGCAGAGAGAAGGTTGCCCTAGACACCCCTTCAAGTACCGAACAACACCAAGAGCAGCAGTACACTAATCATCTCTAGGTTCCTTCAAAAGTTGTGCTAAAGTGTGCATAGCATAGGAGAGCTCCAACCAAGTAACAGATAGATAACCAAACGCCCTACCACACATTGAAAAGGTTCTGGATCCACCAAAATTGGTACTTGGGAACGAGCCAAGTGATGATTTGGCTCCATCGGTTGGCCCAACTGTATGGCACCCAACAAACCGGCCTCAGCGATAATATCTAATGCATATTTCTATTAGAAAAGGAAAATCCAGACGCACTTCTAGCCACCTCAATGCCAAAGAAAAACTTCAAAGTTCCCAAGTCTTTCATATAGAAGCAATCGGCCAGATACACTTTGAATTTGGCTATCGTATCCGCATTATCTCCAGCAATGATGAGATCATCTACATAAATTAAAACATGCATTACTCCCTTCTTCCCAATGAAAGAAAACAAGGAGTAATCTAGATGGATTGAAAAAACCCATAGCGCCTCAAAGCTCTAGACAGTGTTGCAAACCAACATCGTGGTGCTTGCTTCAATCCATACAACAACTTTTTGAGTTTGCACACCACCTTAGAAGAATTTGAAAAACCTGGTGACAAACTCATATAAACCTCATCTTGGAGATCTCTATGCAAGAACGCATTATAAACATCCATATGATGCAACTCCCATCCCTCAGCAGCTGCAATAGCAAAAAGGGTTCGCACAGTAGTTAACTTGACCACCAGGACAAATATTTCATTATAGTCAAGGCCTTCTACCCGATGATTTCCAAGTATGACAAGCGTGACCTTGTATCTTTCCACACTTCCATCATATTTGTGCTTGATTTTATACACCGATTTGTAACCAAGGGGTTTTCTATGAATAGGAGGAGGAACAAGAGACCACGTTCCATTAGCTTCTAGTGCATCAATCTACTCTCTCATAGATTTCCTCCACCGTTCATCGTGGAATGCCTTCTTCAGTATCAAGTGTTGTGAGAAAACATTTGTGTTTGTTGGAGAATCCCTCGTGCGCAATGTGTGACGAGAGGGGATACTTGCAAATTTCTCCAAGAAATGTACTAGCAACATGTGTGACATAGTCAGCCAATCGCACATTTTGTCGTTTCTCACGTTGTCCTTGCCAGAAGACCTCTTCACCGGACTGTGAAGACAACGGCCGACCGCCATCCATGGAACGGTGCATGGGGTCGACTGTGTGTAGCTGCCCTGATTCTTGTACAAGCTTCCCCATCAATGGTCGACGGTCTTCTATGAAATGGTCCAATGACTTAATAGTCTGTAGCTCCTTAGGATGCTGTCTCTCCGACAGTCGACCGTTCCTCTTGGACGGTCCAACGACTCTTCCGTCCGTAACACTTCATCTTTGTCAAGAAAATTAATTAGATGTGTGTCACTTGTATTATCTTGATTCAGAGATTCACTTGCAAAGGTCAAGAAAGGAAAAATGTCATCACATCTTTCCCCCTTTGCAGATCTATCGCACTACTTATATGCATTAGAGCTGAGATTGACGCCTGTTAAATATATTCTGTATTTTTAATATTTATTTTATATGGTAGGTTCTTTTTGTATAGGCTTTCCTTGTTTATATCCTACCATAGTTAGGAGACACGTGATTTGTAAATATACGGGGCTTGACTCTACAAGATCAATATAGAAAATCACAATTCTTCATGGTATCAGAGCCTCTTTCCGTGACTTAAACCCTAACATTGTTCCCTACTCGGCCTTCTCTCTTGTGCGGCCGCCTCTCCCTCCTCACGCCGTCTCCTGTTCGGCCGTTCCTCAGCGCCACCATACACGACGCCGTCTCTCTCGCGCATCTCCCGTCCTCAGTGGTAGAGTCCAGCGCCGCCTCCCCCCATCAGCCGTGACTACACCATGTCCGAGAAGATCTCCGCCACTGAGAAGTTTGCCATCATGCCCCCCTCCACTCCTCACTTGGCTTTCACAATCATCTCTAACGTGAAGCTTCATGTCCCAATCCTCTTGAGCTTCTCCGAGCCAAACTACAAAAAGTGGAGCCGCTTGTTTCTTCTTTTGGTACAGCGCTTTTCCCTCGGCGACTCTCTCACTGGAAAATTGGCCCCCTCTAGCGCCGGTGACACCGAACGATACCAACTTGATGCACTCATCCAGGAGTGGATCCTCTCCCCGATCAACGATGAAGTTTCCGACCTTGTCCTCTCCTCAATAAATTCTGCGACGGAACTTTGGCAATCCATCCACTCTCTCTTCCATGACAACAAACCTGCCCAGACAATGTAGTTGGAGCACCAATTCCAGACCACGAAGAAAGGTCGCTAACTCTCAGAAACTTAGCTGATTGGTTGGATGATGTCAATGCCCTAGTCTTAGAACAGCAACTAGTACTACAAGTCCTTCGGGGGCTACCGGACGATATGCGCAATCAAACTTCATTCCTCCAGTTTCAAACTCTAGCCCCGACGTTTCTTCAAACCTGATCTGCACTACTTCTCATTGAGCGTCAACGGTCGGATTCGGACACCGCTGATCACTCCTCCAGCACGACCCTCTTCTCGGTCGGAAACCTCGGCGCCATCTCCCACAGCCCCACAGGCGGAGGATGCGGGCTCAACAGCACCGTAGCGGACGACGACAGCCGCACCCGAGTAGCAGCAGCGGTCGTGGTTGTGGCGGCCAACGCAACCCCGGTCTAGGACGAAGCTCCGGGTCAAATACCCGCACCACCCACGGACAGCCCTGGTAGTCACC